GGCACACCACCAGCACCTCGGGGCCAGCCAGGGGACCTGAGGTATGGAGCCGGGGACCAGACACCCGCCCACAACCAGACACACCACCAGTGTCTCAGGGCCCGCCCAAGGACCTAAGGCATGGAGCTGCGGACCAGACCCCCCCCCCCACCCACAACCAGGCACACCACCAGCACCTCGGGGCCTACTTGGGGTCCTGAGGCATTGAACCAGAGACCAGACCCTCCTCCCACAACCAGGCACACCACCATTGCCACCACCAACTAGGTAAGGAGCATACCAAAAACATCGCCTCCATGTGGGTGGCCCACCACAGCCACCACAATAACCACGGCTGCCATGAAAGCAGCTAGATGCCACAACCACCATGCAGATGGTCCATCAGCCACTGGAGTGCATTGACACTAGGAGAGTCACCAGCAGAGACCAAAGAAAAGAAGAGGATGTCTTTCTCCACAAAGCCCGTGCCAGAGTGACAGAAGAAGCATCTGCTGTACAATAATATTGGGAGACCTGAACACACCTCCCAGCATTAGACAGGTCATCTAGGCAACAAATCAACAGAGTAACCCTTACTCTTTCAGGAGAGAAGAAATCTAGTGTAATTAGCAGGGGGGAGAGATTGGAAGAGGGGTATGGGGGAGATTGGACAAGGGGCAGAAAGAATAAGTACAATTTGTAACAATATGCATACTTGTAATATTGATTTGATCAACATGTCAACATTGAACCCCCAAAATATGTATAAACAATTATGATTCAATAAAAATTAAACAAATAAATAAATTTCTTTTATTTATAAATTAAAAAATTAAAATTAAAAAAATGAGTTTCTTGTAGACAGCATGTAATTGGGTTTTTGGTTTTGTTTGTTTTTTAAAATCTAACAATTTCCATGTTTTAGCTGGTGTTTTAGACCCTTTATATGTAATGTAATTATTGATATAGTTAGATTTAGACCTGTTATTTTATAGTTTCCTGATTGATGTCTTTGGTATCTCACCCACCTCCATTTCCTTCTTCTACCTGCCCTTTTGGGGATTATTTGAATATATTTTTATATTCTATTTTAATTTATCTTTATTTTTTTATTTATTAGGTTTTTTTAATTTTCTTTATTTTTATTTTTATCTTTTATTTTCTTTTAATTTATTTGTTTTTAATAGTTTTCCTTCATCAAGGAATATGTTTGTTTTGCCTCCATACCTGAAGGGTATTTTCACTGGCTCTAGTTTTAGGTTGATACTTCTTTCTTTTAGCACTTAAAAAGTGTTCTCCTGTTGTCTGGCCTCTGTTGTTTCTGATGAAAATCCTACATATACTTGAATTGTTCTGCTATATGTGTCGTGTCATTCTAATCTAGCTGCTTTCAGGATTTGTTCTTTATGTTTGGTTTTCAGCAGTTTGATTCTGATATGTCTGATTGTGGCTTTCTCAGAGTTTATCCTGTTTCAGGTTTACTCAGCTTCTTGAGTTTGTAAACTTATGACTTTTACTAGATTTTGGAGTTTTTAGCTATTTGTTCTTAAAGTTCTGATTTCCTTCCCCAATCTGCCTGCTGTTTACTTTTCAGAAGTCTCTAATTAGTTGCTTTATGATTTCGCAAAGGGTTTTTACTTGTAATTAGTGGGAGATAATAAGGTGGCATGTGATTAGTCCATTTTAGCTAGAACTAGAATGTGCGTTGGTGAATTAAGCAGGCAGCCCAGATGTAGTTTTATTTGGTTTTGGATACAGTACAATTTTTAGTAGCATATGTGCTTTTTAAAAGTATAATCAGGGGCCGGCCCGGTGGCGCACTGGATAGTGCGCCGCCTGGGAAGCGCGGCGGCGCTCCCGTCCGAGGGTTCGGATCCCACATACAGACCGGCTCCCGCTCGCTGGCTGAGCGAGGCGCGGGAGCAACGCCGAGGCTTGCGATCCCGTTGCCGGTCCCCGGTCCGGTGCGGGGGCAACACTGAGGGTTGCGATCCGTTGCCGGACACGGAAAAAGGACAAAAGACAAAAAAATAAAAAAAAATAAAAAAAAAATAAAAGTATAATCAGGATGTCACAGCTAGAAAATATGATAAAAGCAATCCAGTCTAGATAGCTCATTTTACAGATATTAGAGTTGAGATGATTTGTTTATGGTTGCACCCATTAGTTAACAACATAATCAGGACATGAGCTGTAATTGTGTGTGTCTCCACTGTTTTTTGCACAATACAGCTACAAATTAGCTTGTATTCCCTAAGGCCATACTGGCTTAGTGTTGAATTAAAAACTTATCAAAAATAGCCCATGTAGTTGCAAATATGTATTTGGATCACTTAATACAGGCTATTTCTCAGATTAAAATTAACAGTTCATATTCTGAGTGTCAGTTCTGTTTTCTATGGAGATAAAATTATAAGGGTATGTGCATGGCTATGGTTAGTTTAAATTATAGATTTGATATTACTGCATTAACTTTTACAGTTTGCAACTATTCTCATACATATCTATAACTCCTTAAGTGGTATCATCCTGTCCCATAGCTATACATGCATTTTACATAATTCATAGACTCCTGTTCTATGTTCAGTTGCCTACATTTCTACTTGTTTACCTTAAAGCATCTTTATAGTAACATGTCCATTCCAGAACTCTTGATTTCCATCTCTCACCCCTGCCCACAGAATTATGTTTTCCCATCTCATTAACAGTTACCTAATTGTTCAGGCCCAAAAGCTGAAACTATCTGATTCCTCTTTTCCCTTACCTTTCACAGCCAACCCATCAAATTCTGTCCTCTCTAATTCTGAAGTCTCCCTATAACTCATCTGTTTCTGTCTGTCTTCATTGCTACCATCTTGTTTCTTGGACAGCTACCATTCGCCCTCTAAGACTTAATTAACATGGCCATCAGAATAGTTCTTTAAACAAATCAGCTTATGTTTCTCATTTAAGACTGCTTAAAACTTTGGTGGGTTTTCATTGTAATCTGTACTCCTCATCATAGCTTGCAACCCCTAAATCTTGGGTTGGCAAACTTTTGCATAGGGCAAGGTAGTAAATATTTTAGGCTTTGTGAACCATGTGGTCTATGTCTCAGCTACACAATTCTACCATCATCATGCAGAAATAGCCATAGACTGTAAACAAGCTGCATTCCAATAAAACTATTTACAAAAACAGGCAGCGGGCCAGATTTGATCCACAGGTTGTAGTTTGACATTCCCTGGCCATTAGCTGCTGCTTGACCTCATTTTCTACTAGTCTTCCTTTTCATTCACTACACAAAAGCTGCACACTCTGTCTTCTTGCCATTCCTAGAGCACACCAAGTCCATTTCCTTCTTAGTCTTTGCAGTTACTCTTTCCTCTGCCTAGGATACTCTTCCTAGAGCTTTGATAATTCTCGCCTCAATATTCAGGTCCTAGGGCTGGCCAGTTAGCTCAGCTGGTTAGAGGACGGTGTTCTAACACCAAGGTCAAGGGTTCGGATGCCCTTACAGGCCAGCTCCAAAAAAAAAAAAAGAAAGTATGTGTATATATACACAAATGTGTCTTCCTGTGACTTTTCAGCCCTGTCTGAAAAAATCACCTACACCTCCCATCTATCCCTCATTGAATTTTGTTCATCACCCTTTTTTCTTCAAAGCATTTGTTACTTCTTCTGATTTGTCTATTTGCTTGTTTTTCTTTACTCAATAGAATATAAGCTCCATGAGAGCAGGGACCTTGTGTGCCTTGCTCATTGCTGCATTCCCACACTTAGATGAATTACTGACTCATAGTCAATATGTAGAAATTATTTGTTGAATGAATGAATGATTTCATTTTTATGTGTATAAATTTAATGACTATTGAATTTTATAACAACCTGGTGGAAAATAGACCTGATGTGTTTAGAGGAAAGTTGATTTAGAAAATGTTCATAATTCCCCATTTCTAAAAAATACTGACTTTTTTTTCTTTTTTTCTTTTTTTTTGTTGGGGATGTTGAATGTAGATCTGAAGAGGAATGACTATACGCCTGATAAAATTATATTTCCTCAGGATGAGCCTTCAGATTTGAATCTTCAGCCTGGAAATTCTACCAAAGAATCAGAATCAACTAATTCTGTTCGTCTGATGTTATAATATTATGGAATCATTGGTTTTGCCTAATCTCACAGAAATGTTACTGTGTCACTTTTCCTTCAGGAGGAAATTGTTTGGTAATGTAGAAAGGTGTGTGCAAACTGAATTTGCTGACTCCTAACACAGAGGGTTAATATTCTTTTGACCTGATTAAATTAGTCAGTCAGAAACGCCCTATAGGATACAGCTGGTAGTTGAGAAATTTTAAAGGTAATGGAAAATTTGTATGTATAACTTTTTAAAGGGCTCTTCATAGCAGAGGATCTCATTTGACTTTGTTCTGATGAGGGTGATGCCTTCTCTTATGTGGTGCAATACCTTTAACCAAAGTTAGGTGTCCATGCAGATTTTATTGCCAGCTTGTTTATTGCCATTCAGCTAGGGAAATGAAGAAATCACTCAGCCTTTTAGTTAAATGGCAATCAGAAGTCTTCCTCAGTGTGTTTAGGGTGTTCAGTAATGATGTCACTAATTCCCAACTAGATGCTTGTTGGCAACAGGAAAGGAGACGACTTGTTATAATTCTAGATTCACAGGGATATAAGATGCCTGAGCTGAAGACCATTTTCTAAGAGGGACTTTATTTTATGAATCAGGGTTAGACTCCCTATGTAAAGATAGAACCAGTTTTTTGTTAAATAGAGCCCAAATTGTGCAAAAGTATTATTGGGCTTTTTTAATATTGTTTAATCAAGTCACTATTAAGTAGAAGAAAGCCATGGTAAACTGGTACATAATCAAAATATGTAAAAGGAGAAACATAACTCACTGTTTAACGGGAGTTATCTTTTGAGAAAAGTTAAAGTACTTTTTTCCTTTCTAAATCTGTGGTGACAACCTGGAAGTTACATACGTCTCCCAAGATTAATAGATGAGTATATCAAATCAGAATGAAAACATGAACTCGTGCATATATTTAAAATTGTGTAGGGACATCTGAACATGAATGTTGTTTGAGGTACTTATTTAAGAAATTAATTGAGTTGGATTATCGTTATGGGATGTTAGAAGATTGCAATGCAATTTTATGCCAATAAAATGTAATTTAATGGCCCTAGATATTGTTGAATATTCAACAAGAAAAGCTTTTCTATCTGACTGAAGTTTTATGCTTTGATTTTTTCCCTTTTCTTTTTTTTCTTTTTTTTGTGTGTGTATGTGTCCTAGGTACTAATATTAATTTTTATTTGAAAGGGAGCAGTATAAAGCTTATTTGTATTCAGTAGTGTATCTCATAGATACAGACAAGGCAAGAAGAGATAAGCTGTTTAAATAGTGTTTAATATTGATGGGGGAGAAAAAGTGTATTATAGATACTATATACATTTTGTATATCATTAAATCTTTAAAAGAAATTAAATAAATTTATTCTTGTTTACAGATGTTTAGTGAGTTTAATCATTCTGAAAAATTATTTGACATTTTCAGGGTAGCAATTTGTTTTCAGAATCCCAGTATTTTAAAAGGAAACATTTGTACATCTATGCTTTTTGATCTCCTGTCCTGCACAATGTTTAAATGGATAATGGTTTCCTACTGTATCTTTTTTTTTAAATCTTTTTCTTTTTATGCCAGAAAAGAGGGATATGGATTATCCATTGGTGTTTAATTTTATATTGATTATTTTCATAAGATGATAGTAGTAACTAACACTTATTTAGTGCTTAATATGAGTCAGGCATTACTCTAAGAACTTTACAGAATTAACCTGTTTAATCTTTAGAGCAATCTTATGAAATAGATGTTATTTTTGTTCTGATTTGCAGATTAGAAAATCAAGGTACTAGAGAGATAAAGTAACTTTTCTAAAAAGATTCTTACAATTAGTAAGTACCAACACTAGAATTTAAACTCAGGTAGACTGGCTTTCATCTTTGCTCTTAAGCTCTGTTCCATGTTGACTCTCAAGCATAATTGGTTTCTGTACCATTTCCTGGTCACTTTTCTGAACGACATCTACTCCACTAACTTTTTTGGTTAATTCTGGAAAGTAATAGTTTACCTGTAAACCACATTTCTCATCCCAAAGAAGTGTTGTCTTTCTTTAGATTATTGAAGTTTATTATTATTGCCCCATGGTCTGAAAGTGTCACTTGCTTAATCTCTTTACTTTTTTCTTCTCAATCTCATCCTACTGAAAATAAAAACTCTATCTTTTACCAAATTGATTCTTAAAATGTGGAATTCTCTTTCATAGGTATTCTCTAATAGTAACCCTAACTGTAACCCCTCTTCAATATGTTATATATGTGTGCCATTATTATTTTAAAAGTAATGCACGTTGATTGTATTGGAACATATATAGAAAAGATTTAAAAATATAAAGAAAAATATACTGATTATCCCCCATTCCCAACATTAAGTCAGACTATTTGCTTTCATAGTTACTATCTGTCTACTCCACTAGATTGTACGCTTTACAGAGGGAATGGACCCTTAAGATTATTCTGGGTGTGTAGTACCCAGCACCTTGCATAGTACATGGTTTGTGATAGGCACACAGTAAAAAATTTATGAATGCTAAAATGTTTTTCCACAATACCAAACTTTCTCTTGAGGAAGATAGATTATAGTGATGTAGTCATATATTTAATAGACAACCAAGGCAAGAATACCCAGTAAATAACTTGTTTATCACTTGAAAGAGAGATCAAGTAATTATTTGCTGAAAAGGATGTGTCTGCACTGCAGAGGTTTTTGTGATCGTCCTTACTTACCATGTTGTTACAAGGCATCTGTATTTTAAAGGCCCCAGGTGATCTGTGAACTTTTTCTTTGAAAAATTCCAAGCTAAGGTTCTGATCCTTTCTGGAATATGTTTACCTTTTGTGGGCTCTTTGGAAACTGATTAAAGCAGAGCTCCTTTCCTGGGGTTGATGATTCCACCTTGGTGGGCATTGAGGGTAGGAGAGGACATGGTTATTCTTCAGAAAAGGCACACACTCCAGCTAACAGTAAACAGCACCAAGCAACAGAACACTTTGTGCCCTGCCCCACCCAACATTCAGCTCCCTACTTTTTTCCCCCTTGGAATTTCTTTGCAATCCTGCATTATGGAATTTTTCTTTCATCTTATTGTCTTAATATACATTTTTTAAATATTAGGAACTATAATATCATTATCACACTAAAAATTTAATTTAATAGTTCTTTAATATTGTCAGATATGTACTCATTGTTCTCAAAAAAGTTTTTTTTTTTTGTAGTTTGAGTCAGGACTCAGGTATGGTTCATATATTTCAGTTACTTAATTTGTTTTTAACATCTGTTTAAATATGCAGGTTTCTCCTCCAACTTATTTTTTGAAGAACCAACTCATTTGTCCTAAAAAGTTTCCCATATTGGGGAATTTTGCCAATTATTTCTGTGTCCTTCATATGCTATAAACTAGTTGTTAGGTCTAAAGACTTGATCAGATTGAGGACTGAATTTTTGCCAAGAATGCTTCCACTAGGGAAACTATGTCTTGTTGTCTTTTTTGGTACCGATTGCATAAATCTGTTAATTAGGTCATTGGTTCTCAAAGTGGACCGTAGTCCCCTGGTAGTCCCCAGGACGCTGTCAGGGAATACACGAGGCCAAAATTGTTTTCATAATACCAAGATTTTATTTGCCTTTTTCACTGTATTGAGAGTTTTACTGATGGGGCAAAAGCATTGTTGGGTAAAGCTGTTGGTATCTTAGCATGAATAAAAGCAGTAGCACCAAACTATTAGTGGTCATTATATTTTTCACCCTCACACACACACACAGTTTAGTTTTGTTTTTAAGTCCACTTCACGTTAAAATTCCTTGATGAAATAATAAAAAGCTAATTTTTAATTAATCTTGACCCTGAATACATGTCTTCAATATTCTGTGGAACAAAATGGGAATCCACAAAGCACTTCTGCTACATAATAAAGTAACAATGATTATCTCAAGGAAAAGCACGCAATTGTGTGTGTTACAAGCAGAACTTGTCACTTTTGATTCATTGATCACCATTTGTAGTTGAAAGAATGACTGGCAGACAGCAGTGTTATTCAGACTGGAGTATTTGGCAGAAGACTAATAGTACTTGTTGCTCATGTTAAAATTTGAGCTTTCAAGCAAAAATTGGAATTCTGGAAAATTTGCCCTAACAACACCAGTAGTATGACAGCTTCACAATATTTTTTCAATTGAATCAGTGTTGATATTGAAAACAATTATTATTATTATTATTATTATTATTATTATTATTATTATTATTATTATTATTATTATTATTATTATTATTATTATTATTATTATTATTATTATTATTATTATTATTATTATTATTATTATTATTATTATTTTTTTTTTTTTTGGTAATGTACAGTGAAATGTGTCAGTGTTTGGAAGATCTGAATAACTAAACCATTATTTTCCAAATGATCCATGTGTGGCATTACAAAGTGATGCATGAGTGAAAGATCTAACACAGTAGGAAAAGTTTGTTTATAGGGTTTCAGATTCTACATTGCAGCTGACCTTTAGGAGACTACCACTTCCTGGACAAGACTACCACTTGTCCATTTTTGTTGCCCTTGCAAATAAGAATATCCACAGTTCTCTAAAGAGGCTATTAAAATACCCCTCCCCACACACAACTACAGTAATCAAGACAGTATTTTACATTATAATGATAAGCATATCGATCAATAAAATAGAAGATAGAGTCCAGACATATACGATCATATTTATGGTCAATTGATTTTCAACAAGGGTACCAAAACAATGGGGAAAGGACAGGTTTTTTTCAACAAACAATGCTAGGATAACTGGATATCCACATGCAGAAAAGTGAAGTTGGACCCCTACTACCTCACACCATATACAAAAATTAAAATGTATCAAAAACCTAAGTGTAAGAGCCAAAGTTATAAAAACTCTTAGAAGAAAATGAGGGGTAAATCTTTGTGACCTTGGATTAGGTGAGTTTCTTAGATATGACAGCAGCAGCACAAGCAACCATAGAAAAAATAGGCAAATTGAACATCAAAATTAAAAACTTTCATGCTTCAAAGTACACTCTCAACAGTGAAAACATCCATGGAGTGGGAGAAGATTTTTGCAAATAATATATCTGATATGGAACTTATATAAAGAACTCTTACAACTCTAATAAAAAGACAACCCAGTTTTTAAAAGGGCTAAGGATCTGAATAGACATTTCTCCATGAATACTGGATATGTATATGTTCATGTAGTGGAACATTATTTAGCAATACAAAAGAATGAGGTACTGATATATCGATGGGCCTTTCAGTTCTGTAGTTACTGTACTTTATAATGTCAATAGACTATACACTGCAATGCAAAATGGAGCTGGGTAGACTTGGGCTGTCATTATTGCTCTGCCACTTCATGACTCACTTTGGCTAATTTAGTAAGCCTCTCCAACAATACTTATGGTGGCGCGAAGGCATAGTGAGTCAAATACTCAGCACATAGAAGTACTCAAGTATTACGTCCCTCCTTGCTACCTTCTTTCCTTTGAAGTTCCAGTGAAGATAGGAGGACATGATGGAGCATAGAAAACATTCTGAGAGTGATTTTTCTCTACAAAGGAATTTGTTGTTTGACAGTATCTTCCATTAGTATAGTTAAAATGAGTATACACTTAAGAGATTTGTAGATGTGTATAATGTGCATCAAAGTGCCTAAATCTACTCTTAATTCTTGAAGGCACTTTTAGTTACCCTATAAGAGAAAACTCAGTAAAAGTAGCCACAAGCACCAAACAAAATCAAAATACCAAGAGAATTCAAGTAATTATACAAGTACTTGGCCATATATGCAACTGCACATGGAAGAAGTCAAAATAATGGAAAATATGTGGGAAGAGTTGGACACCCAGAGATTAAATCCAAGCAGTCAATGGATTGTAAATTTTATGACAGTAAAGACTTGTATTTTATTCACTATTACACACTTAGCACAATGATTAGCACAAAGTAGATGCACAATATTTTCTGAATTAATGAATGAGGTACAATAACTGTTTAATAGGAGTTCCAAAATGAAAGAATTAGAAGGGAGGAAATAAAAGAACCTGAATGCCACATTTTAGTGATTCTGCAAGTGGAAAATATAGTTTACAAAAGAAAAAAAAACATTTTTTTACCACTGTAAAAGATACAGACTTGACCAAAGAAAGGCAAATGAAATACACAAATTTAAATTCTTGCCAGCACATACTCATACATGGTGTGATGTTTTTTGAAAAAAGTAACCTAGAAATAAGTTTCTTTTAGATTTTTTAAAACGTGCATATTTCTGGGGTAGAGTGTTGTTTCAATACATGTATATACTGCACAATAAAATTTAATGTGAAAAGAACTCAGGGGAAGATGGTAGTAAAAGCATACTGAAG